GCGGGACTCACGTCTCGGACCAGGAGGGTGAGCAGGCATTGCCTTCCCTGCAGTGGTAGAGCCGTCCTCAAAGTGAGAACGGGCTCCATAGAAAGAGGTGTCGTCACGGCGCGGAGTGTATTCGTCGTTGGCACATCGGCCGTCAAACCAAGGTCGATGAGGACGGAATGAATCACCTCGATGCCAGCAATGACAGGCAATATGTCCTGCACCTCCACAGTGAAAGCATAGTGGACGTCTGTCCACTGTGCGCCATGCATCTGTTTTCTGGGTCGGTGGACGCGTCGATGCCCATGGGGTGGCTGTGGACGGCTGGTTGTATGGCTGTAGCGTGGGTGGTTGATGCAGTGTCTGCTCTTGCGGCGGATACCAAAGGGCCATCGGCACCTGGTGGTACAGCGTCAGCATAGCGGGTGGTGGATGTCGGAGAGCGGCAGCGTATCTCATAGGACGCTGCTGGGCATCAGGAGAAGCCGTAGACAACGCTTGGTGGATTTCGTCGCGTACGACTTCAGCGATCGACGCGATGGGATTTTCAGCAACCGGATTCCGCAACTTCTGCAGTTCCTCGCGAACTATCTCCCTAATCAAGTCTCGCAAGCAGCTCTGACTCTCAGACGTCATGACGATAGCATTGATTCGGACATTGCAGGACATGCGGTCATAATGCCTACAGCGTTGATGAAGGGCCCACTCGATAGTCATAGCCTCCTTAATGAATTCAACTACGGTACTTGGAGGGTTGCGCAGTAGCCCGGCAAAGAGCTGTTCTTTGACACCGCGCATGAGGTAACTCAACTTTTTATCTTCCGTCATGTGCGGGTTAGCTCATTGAAAAAGACGAGTCATGTCCTCGGCAAACATTGCAATGATTTCGTTGGGTTTTTGAACCCGTAGCTCCAATAACTGCTGCGCACGGTCCCTTCTATCGATATTGGCGAAAGTATAGACAAACTTCTTTCGAAAGTCGGGCCAAGCTGACAGATTGCCTTCTCTATTCTCAAACCAAGTACGAGCACCGTCGTCAAAGTAGAAATAGGCGTGTGAAAGCTTTTCCTGTTCCGACCACTGATTTACCTTGGCAACACGCTCGTAGTGGTCAAGCCAGTCGTGAACGTCTTCGTGGGCACCGCCACTAAAGCGATCGGGAACGAGGGGTCGAAAGAGGGTCATCTGAGATGGGTGCGTCGGAAAGCTGCCTTGGGGCACCTGTTGCGGGCTTGCGTTAGCCATAGGTTGAGGTGTGCGGTGCCTAGCAGGTTCCGGCGAGTGAGTCAGCTCTAGTGCGAGGCCTCGCAACCGTCGACTGGAGCGATGCACCGGTGTTTTTGCAGGTAACAATGCGTCTGGACTCGATGAGCGGCTCCCAGCGGGCGTGTGGAGCATCAGACAGGGTTGTGACCCAGCACTTCCACCAGTGTCGTGGTTCAACGCGAACAGATACACCTTGGGACGACGTAATCAGCGTGTCCTCAACAGCTGAGCCACAAGATCGTCTTCTTCAACCTCGAGAGAAGCTAGAGGCCCACCACCTCGTGCCCACTAAATTCCCCATGATCGTTATCGTCCACATGAAGACATGCGTCAATATAATAAGGGAAAGAAGTGTATACTTAAGCGCTCATTTTTCCGTATTTTGACACAATAATAATGAAATCTAACAGACAACAATGCCAAGGAAAGTATAGGGGAGGCTATTAGAACAAATTGTAAGGTAAATGGGAAGAAAGAAAAGTGGGTGAAAAGATAACTTGCCGTGGGCAGGAACCCAACCTATGACCTTCGAATAACGCGTTCGATGCTCTACCACTGAGCTACCACGGTGGCTATCCTCTTAGCCACATTATTGGGTATATATGTCAATTTTAAACGTGGGAGTGTCATTCAGCGCCATCTTTAGCCATGGCGGCGAGTGTGGCGCACTCTTTTATGAGCCTTTGTGGCGTTCCGTAGCACGTAAACCTAATACGAGCTCGCAGCTGACCAATAGTTCCTAGTATACAACCTAAGACACCAAGTCTGCCAGTTCGAGACCCTCGTTAATGAATAAGAAAAAAAAGTACATACTTAAGGGCTAGTTTTTCCGTGTTTTGACACAATATTAATAAAATCTAACAGACAATAGTGCCAAGGAAAGTATAGTGGAGGTTCTTCGACCAAATTGTAAAGTAAATGTGAAGAAAAAAAAGTGGGTGAAAAGATAACTTGCCATGGGCTGAAACCGGCTGGTAGAACGTTACCAGAAAAAGCAGCAGAGCAGGCTACTCCAGAGAAAACGTGGAAACAACTATTATATGGGATTCAAGGTGGTGTACGGCTCAACTAACTACAATAAAATAAATACAAAGAAAAACAATATACGTATATATAATCTAATAGAGTTATGCTCAAATGAGCAACAGAATCGCCATTATCACATATGGATTGCAATATGAACATATAGGAGGAATTCAATACTAGATTTGAGAAATATATATGGAAAGTAGACAAAGAAAATATAATTATTAAAATATGTTGTTTCGTAAGTTGTTTCACGAAGAGAGAAAGACGGCAGTACACTTTATTTCAGAGCTTTTTTCTATAGTTTTCATAGACATAAACCAGATTGAGGAGCATAATTTTCTGTGTAATCCATAATATTTTTATTCCATGACCTTCCCTATCTGAAAATTTCATATTATTCTAACACCACTCATTTTCAGACCAGTCCCCCCCCCCCCCCAAGTGAGAATGTGCCACAGGTAATAAATAAAGAAAACAAGTACTTGCAGTAATATTCCTTTGGTAGCGAAAAAACCGTCGCGTTACGCCAATTCACTTCATATTTGCAATGGACAGTCAGCGCCAGAAGTTAAAAACCTTGAGACACAAGAAAAGGCCCTATATTCCCCCGGTAAATATGCAGTCTTTCATTCAGGTTTCCGTCCTGTTTTGATCAAACACGCTAGAAGCATGTACTGTGCAGTTCCACCGAAAACAGTAACACATTTATGAGAAATTCAGTTTTCTCAGCCATAGTTGTCTCCAAATTTTGCGTGTGTACTATACATTTCAAAGAAAACATTCGTGGTTTTTTCTTTGCCTGTTTCCGTTTTCAAGTGACTTGGACAAAACGCTCGCTGAGCCGAGTAACCTAAAAAAAATACTTAAGTATAGGTTCCGTACTCATTTGCATATCAGTGCCTGGTCACTGCAGGAATAACTTCGTCCCTCGTCGTATTACCTCCAACAGCTTTCAAAATAACGGGGTCTGTGGTATCGCAGTGCTTGGGCCGTCGTGGTGATATAGGCTGAGGTTGAACACTTTTAAAGCTAGTTATCACTAGTTAGCACTATTTATACATATTTGGCTTAGTTTTACTGCGATAGCAATTATATGGACAGTCTCGGCTAGCTTTTTACCATCGCCACTGTCACCGCTGTCATTCACGTATATGTATACGTGCTTATAGGGGGATCAAAGGATGCGCTAGCCTTTTGTTTCTGCGGAGCGAACATCGCCCTTCCGGCCGAGGTCGTCTGCGCGCGCACTTATCTCATGAGTGAACAGGGGAGGGGGGGGGGTGCTTATGCTTTTTGTTGTTGCGGCTATCTGGGTGACGATCAGCGCTCCACCCTCCCCCCCCCCCCTTCCCACCCTGGAACGCACGGCTTGTGCCCCCACAGCAGGTGGGAGCTTCTACGGGCTGCACTCCCAACACGAAAGAAACGGTGCCAAGAGTGCACCTGTAGCAGCCCTGTTCTCTTACACCAGCGTTTTGTAGAGTTACTTGAGATCGGATCTGAATGAGTTGACTGCCATCTTCACTTCGTTTACCATTGGAATTTGGTGCTATCAAATTCATTGCTTTACATTTTCGATGAAACAGATTTTCTGCAATCATTCCTGCCCCAGAGAGCCCTTAGTACCAGCATGCGCTGCCCACCACAGGCACTTCTCATCAACGCCATCACTACGCATGAGCCTTGTTGTGGTCGTCTACTGGGGCCCCACCGCAGGAAACTCCGTTACTTAGCAAGTGCATGTTTACTACAAATAATATTGCCCCTAAAGATGCAAGTCTTGCTCCATAAAACATTCGAATATCTCGAATCGCATTCATTGATTCGCCCTTTTGCGATACTGACTTTTTTTCTTTGACTGTGACGCAGTGTTAATACACCTGTTAACACGTGATTACATCGGCAAGGCTTAAAGCGAGCGCAGTTGCTACGCGTCAACGTGGCTGATCACGTGACGTGACATCGCGCTTGCCACGGTTGCACTCCAGCGACTCAAGGCCATTTTGACGTGATGTTTGGACTTTGGAGATATGACCTAATAGAGATTGGGGCGAAAAATGACTTACGTTACCACAATTTTTTTCTATCATTACAACTTCGCTATAACAAAAGAATACTGCATTCATTTCTCATTTTTTAACACTCACGAAGGCTTGTACAATGAGCACATTCGACTGGAATGCCATCGTTCGCCATTTCGAACTATCATTTGCATACGCTGCTGTTCAATCCTATCTTTTTGTATAAGGTGCTAATTATAGACGTGTTTAAACAAATATACCTGGATGCTTTAACAAATATACCTGGATAAATGAATGCTTGTAGAGGGCCCTAACATTTATTCTTTCAACTTCATTGTGGTTGTAGCATTGTCACTAGTCATGCTTCTGTTACACTTTTGCGTGTTCAAAATAAAGTAGCGCTTTCGATGCTGGCTAACATCTTTGCCTTTCCTTACCTTCTGTTCCTTCTTCGAACAATATAAATACTGTCATCTAGAGGAATTCACTGGAGGATATTCCAAACAAAAGTTAGTTGCATCTAAGTGCACAGACGCCAATTTTCAAAGCTCACGCAATACTGGGGCACAAAGGTCGTCCACTGTTACCTTCATATCATTTGAAGAAGACATCATCAAAGTTCTTGCTTGTGGCGCATATGTTTCCTGCATTTGACAATGCATATCCTGCAAGGAGCATGAGTGATTTTTCTCAGTGTTCCCAGAACAATCTCATCGAGTTTTTATTGCGCAGATAACCATACAGTACATATTTGCAGCAACCGTTATTGTTGTTCATTTTGATTTAGCTTCGCCTGTTGTTGTGGTTAACAAGCGTATATATATTCTGTAAAAAAAGGTCAAAGCTGAATTTCAGGAAAAGTTTGTTCTGCATGTTTGTATTTGTGTGTTCCTTCCATTTGTCATCATGTAGTGAGAGATACGATATTAGAGGGAGATGCCTAGGTATTAGTTGACAACGACACCCTTTGAACCAACAGCAGATGTTGGTCGTGCATGCGCTGTCGTTGAGCTGCCATTCTTTGACGTTTGAGAGGGCTGTGGTTTCGGAGGCAGAGGTTTAACCGTCGTTATACGACCATCAGCGCCTACTTTGCAGCGGCCGCCTTGACAAGTGCCTTTTCCACGAATGTTCTGTAATGATGCAAAACAAAGAAACATGTGTTTGAGGTACACTAAATGTATACATGCAGCCATGCTGAGTTTATAAGCTGTTCCTTCGAAACTTTGTTCGTGTTCCCCTGGGCACAAATGTTCAAGCTTGAAAAGAAAAAAAATTATGGCCAATCTTCAGACTTTCCTAAAGTATCCCGCAGAACGTGTTTGAGCTATCCTACAGTCACCACTTATTATAAATATGTTAACGTGTATGCGCCATTTTAACGCCATATCATTTCGCCGAAATTCCGGGGTCGACGTCAATGTCAGCGTCGTCAGTAGCGAGTGCAGAAGCACCATATTTTCTTTGATAGAGGGATCGAGAAATATGCGAACGAAATAAGTAATGAAGAACTTTCGGGTTCGAGCGAGGATCGATCCCGGGTTGTTTACGTAGCAAGCAGGTCTTCTATCACACCGAGACACGTCTGCTCGGAAATACAGTGAACAAAAGTTTCTGAACTTGCATTTGCAGTACAAATAACAATTACGCTTTACAAATACACGCACCCTGTATACAGGCTTCACAATTCAACTTATATTATCACAGTAATGTTGCGTGGTACAAGCGTACATCGCCATACTGAGTCCGAAATTGAAATTGTATAGCATAACCACTTCTTGGTTTAAAGGCTGCCACCTATTACAAAATTCGCACACACGTTACAGCGCGTATTTCCTTGAGACCACCACCACCTAGAGGGTGCATAGCGAAATCAAAAACATTGCACGTGCATAATTACTGGTGGTGTAAAGCATGATACCCATCAAATCAAATGCATTTATGTGCAAAAATATCACAGACACAAGTGATTTTTAATTTTCTCGATTAACTTTAGTAATCCTTCATATAAACTTCTCGAGTAACATCGCACAATGTAAGGTATGCACCAAGTGGTTTAAGTACGCACTATTAACAATATATCGCTATCGCATGGAACTCTTACAGCCGAACATTACGGGTCTTCCAATAAATAAATAAAAATGTGGTCCATTTTGAGCGACGAAAATTAAACTGGTCTTTCGCCTATTCGATCAAAGTTTTATACTCTAATGTGTCATGGTTATCAAGAAAGTAGACCCGAGAAATCACCTAGATAAATGGAGGGGTTTCTTGGCTCTACAGCAATATAAATGTTTCATAAAAGTATATTGAAAGTTGTTAACCCTGTCTTATAGCATACACAGCATATGCCGTTCGCTTTTGTAGTGTGACGCAAAATACTCATTGCGTCTCTTTCGTGCTGGGCGATTTGTGCTGCTGCTTGACGATCCGGTGCCCTAATACATGTACTCTCCGGTAAGGTCATTGCATGCCATAATCTGTGACACCATCATAAAAACAATTGAAGAGATTTTAAACGAACATTTTTTTTCACTTCTAACTTCACTTTCTTCAAAGAAGCTTTCTTCAAAAAAGCACAAAAGGAAGAAAAAAGACACTGACGCCGTTTTTACTTCGTTAGTTGTTTTTTTTTTTTTTTACAGAAGCCCTCCATCACTTATTGCGGGCATTTGTTGCTGCAGCCTGTGAACCGCTTTCTCAGAATACTGCTTTTCGAGCTTCCTGTAGCCTTGCAAGGCCCACCTACTTCTAGGCTATTCTGTTTTGTTCGTGCATCTGCTTCGAACCTTTTCGTCGACTGCGTAGCGATCGCAGGTTCAAGCTGAAAAGTTCCACTGCCCTTTCTTTAGAAAAACAGTAAACAAGAGAGCCTGACATAATACAACTGCAAACCGTTGACGGAACTTCTTTTGCTGAGAGCACTTCTGACGCGTTGAGCGATTGCTGCATTGTTGTATGAACAGCAGCCGGACGCAAAAGTTGTGCGGACACCTGCTCGAAACTAAAGATAACTTTACACTCGTCAAGAAAGCGTGTCATTAGAGTTTCGTCCACTGTCGTTTTTTTTTTCAGTGAACCCTATTTTTATGCACTATCCACAGCTAAAACCTTCACTCGCGTCATAATTTGTTTAATATTCTGTTTTAAAACACAAGTGTTCTCAAAATACATACCCGAAAAAATCCTTCCCTCTGCTTGTATATCTCGTAATGCACTTTCCGCGAGAACACATGGATACATATTGTCCCGTAGATATACATGGGAAACTATCGCGTTATGTAATAAACGATTTATACTCACGAGCTACCATGTGTGTCGGAACTTGAACCCTCCACATTCTGACAGTGCAAGTGTTCAAATCCATGACTTTTGACGCGTACACGAACCCGATCTCCGAAGCTTTCGAGTGTCTAGGATGATACCTTTGAACAAACCCTGAATTCGCGAAGGTCTTAAAGAATCGAAATGTCGGCCTCCTCAATTACAGCAGTTCCGACACCTAACCATCGAACCATGTAGAGTATCAGATTACACAATGGCACAATCCTTACGGTTCAATGCAGACAACTCGAGTGGAGTTTCCGCAGCAAGTTTATTTCACAACATCTGTCAAAGATTGGAACAACGAACGTAATATGGAAAGTGTCTTATCATTACCTCTAGAACTGCGTGCCTCGAGTTGTGCCGGATCAGAGGCAAGTACTTCCATTATTGGTCGAATCGTAGCTCATACAATTTCTTTTCTGGTATCAAATATCGCACAGCTGTGTTTATACCACTCTACCTCTGTACTTCATTTCTACTTGTACATTCGTACTTTGATTGCTTTTTTTGTCCTGAATCCTAACTTAAACTCTTCGGAACACTTAGTTCTCAGTGTTATACATCATATCAGCATTCTAGATATTACACAACCTCATATTTCTTCTGATTAATGTTTAGCGCAGCCACCTCGGGACACGAGGGAATCTAAAACAGGTACACTTGTGGCCCTAGCCTACAACCTATTACTATTGCATAGCCACGCATTCATATCATTTGTGTGCTAACACCACCCATAATACAACTGTTCTATGAACAGCCCGCCCTACACCTACGATGTATCCTGTATAAATAATTTAGCATGTGGCTTTTGTTAAAACCTATTTTTACTTGTTTCCCTCTCCATGTTCTGGTTTTCACAAGTTTTGTGTATTTCCCAACTCTGTGTTTTTTGCCGAATGGGGTTCACACACTGCTTAAATCTCTGTCTGGGTTCTTAAGAGCAGTTTGGTGGGTGCGTTGTATTGAAATAGCGTCCTAAAATGTGAGCGTAAAAAAACAAGTCAGAAAAGGACAAAATGACAGGAAATGTGTCTTAATCATCAATCGCGCACCCTTACGGAATGCCTGCTTGTTTTTTTTCTCGTGTTTTATGTTTTCTTCTTTGTCATTGTCGTTCTCTGGCATATTCTATAACGCAGGCATCTTTGGTAAGGAAGTATGGACAAATAAATGATTAAATATTACCCAGCATAGTGTCCCGTCCGATTCATGTTCCATCCTTGGTGGAAATGATCGGCAGAAGTAGGTGCAATACAACGTGCGACCGAACACATTCGTCTAAGGAAAAAAATAATCTGATGAGCTTCAGGAGTACACAGTAGTTGCACTTCCATGCAATGTAGCAAGCAATAACATGACATGCATTACTCACAAATTTGCTGGCTATGATCTTTCCACACTTATGATTCTTGAATAGACACCCTGGAAAGGTATCACAGTTTCCGTTGCTTAAATCAAGTACTGCCTGAACAGCTCTACTGTATTCACAAAATATTGTTAAGCTTCAGTGATCGTTTAACGGCGTTTGGTCATGTTGCCCTGACTAGTATGTGCTGCATAAATTCCAAATTTTTCAATTACTGCCACAGCCATACAAGCCACACAAAGCAAATGCGGCTTGTAATGTTCTGAGCATTCACTCTAAAAAAAAGAATCAAGTAACTGGACGCTAAACAAAGTATCTGGGCTCATATAAAATTAGTTAGACTACTTTGATATAATACAGCACGTGTCAAGTAAGGAGTGCGTAATTTCTACGTTCTTTCTGCTAAATAAACTCCTCTTAAACCTTGTATGGTCCGTGCGTCATTTACAAGAAGCACGATGTTTGTCACTGTTCAAGCAAACGCAATGCTTTGCCACGTATAATGTGTCTGTGATGCGTAATTTCCTACCAATAGACTGTGAATTTCTCTTCACAACGTAAACGTTCGAGAACTTAGGACAAATACGAATTCATTAGAAACTTATAGACGTGTTCCACTCATAAAATTTAATATACAAAATTTTGTAGAAGAAAACTAGAAAGAGCGTTAAATTCCACATGGTTGTAGAAAATATTACCGTAAAGTACTTTTTTTCTGTAAAATTTTGTGATTGCTGTGAGGGCGCGCACTTTGAACCACACACAAAAGTGAGACCACGTAACGCAGAAAAATTCATATAGAAACGCAATTTTTCCCGCCCACTACTAACAAACTTTATTTCATCTAACGTCCGGTAGGTAATCTCAAAAGTATAGTACAAACAGCAATGTTTCTTTTTGATGATTACTAGTAGTTAAAGCTGTCCGAAAGGCAAATTCAAGCTAAACGTTGAACAGAAGTGAGAGACTTTTTAAAGCAGTACTTGCACACATCTTGTGTCATTCATTTCATATAGTAGTGGTCCGCGCGGATATGCATTGTTTAGAATAGTATAACGATTAGTATTTTTTTATTGTCGGCTCAATTAGCAGTACCCAAAAGACTAACGTTTTTTCAGCGAAAATCTGTTTGAACTTAACAGGTGGGACGTCCCTTCTATTTACTTTGATTTCACATCTTGAAGGACAGCGTACGAATTCACGAAGGCAGTACGCAAGGAAATATATTTAGACGAGTGAACATACTTTTCATTTGGGATTGGGGGAGAAAAGACGAATTTGAACCTTTCTTACATAATGTATAGTTCAATACGACACTACAAGTGCTTTTATGAAACACAAGATCCCAAAGTATAGATACGAGTGGCTACCATAATGTTATGAACATGCATACAATCTCTGTCTAAGTGCGAAAATGACAAGGATATATCAGCCATCGCTCGCTAACATTCCACGTGTTAAACAGTGGAAGCCGTAAAGTTAGTCGAGTGGCGCTCTTAATACCATTACGACGCAATATTGTGTGCTGAAGAACACTGTGCTTTCATTTATTCGAAACTGAAATCTTCAGGACACCTTGAGTATGCATTAAGTTACGTTTCACTGCAGCCTAAAATATACGGTAAAGAGAAAGAGAGTAATGCATTTAACAAGAAAAAAAAGCCTCCTCTTGATATTCATTCATTATTATCTGGGGTTTTGCGTCTAAAATTATTCATATGATTATGATGCATGCCGTAGTGGAGGCTTGCCAAAATTTTGACCCCCTGGTGCTCTTTAATTTGCACTGACGTCATGCAGAACATGGGCCTCTGGCTTTCGCCTTCATCGAAATGCGACCGCCACGGCTGGGGTCGAACCTGCGACCATCGAGTCGGCAGCCGAGCACTTCAAACGCTTCACCACCGTGGCGAACTCTGTTCATAAGCCGTCACACCAACAAAGCGCGCGCACCTGGAAGTTTACTAGCCTGTCTACATTTTTCAGAGACTTTGCAGAGGCTCATTTTGCCGACAAACGCTTTTTAAAGACGATAGTCTTTCTTGAGGACCTTCGACGCAAAAATTTTGGTCTGTCTGTCTGTCTGTCTGTCTGTCTGTCTGTCTGTCTGTCTGTCTGTCTGTCTGTCTGTCTGTCCGTCCGTCCGTCCGTCCGTCTGTCTGTCTGTCTGTCTGTCTGTCCATCCGCCCGCGCGTCCGTCCGTCCATCCGTCTGTCTGTCTGTCTGTCTGTCTGTCTGTCTGTCTGTCTGTCTGTCTGTCTGTCTGTCTGTCTGTCTGTCCACTTTTAACGGCACCGGGTACTTGAAACAGCCGACCTCATCCGCAGCGCCCATCAATGTTGCTCAAGGTTTAGCGTTCATAGTTGTGCATTGTCAATTAAAAAGCAATTATTGCGCATGTTTGAAGCACCATAACAACACGTATATATTCTGCACATGTGTCTTTTATTAGAAAAAGAATACATAAGTAATTTTAAGCACCGAAGCGCTTATCGTGCTGCGCTGACCATGGAACGCTTGCACGAGAAGGCGAGTGTTTTCAACGCTTCGCTAAAACGAGACGGTGGTAGCACCTACCCATTGCCTTGCGTTCTACACCTTATTACCCCTGAGATGGGTGCGCCACGCACTTCGTTTTTCAAGAAAACTGCCAGATGATGCTGATATCGCACGTGTGACGTGACTTGATGCGCCCGTTCACCTCCACTGCACGCTCGAGGCACTCTAACGCAGCGCCTCTAGAAAAACATTCACCATTTTTCTTGCACGGAACATCAAATAAATGTTTTGTTCCCTCTCTCCGCGCGCAAAAGTATCGTCTTTTGACCAAATTTGCAGAATAACGTCAAGATACGAGCCCAATTTTTCTTTTTCATTCTGCGGCCGGCTCAAGTCGCCACTCTGTCATTGCACGATTAAGTGATTTGCTCGTATCTTGTGTTTTGATATTGCTGTCCTAAAACAATCTTCAGTAATTGAGGTAGTCATTTGTCGTTCCAAACACACACTATTTCAACGCTAGCTATTCGACCTCAGTAGTAACCCAAATGATGTTATGCTTAGCATAACGCAAACGACCTAGCCATACACAAAGGCCTAATTCTTGCGTGCGATCTATCGACGAAAATGTTGTAGGCCCGTGTGCTCAGATTTGGGTGCACGTTAAAGAACCCCAGGTGGTCGAAATTTCCGGAGCCCTCCACTACGGCGTCTCTCATAATCATATGGTGGTTTTGGGACGTTAAACCCCACATATCAATCAATCGATTTATCGACGATCAGTTCGGGCTTATCACTACTCCCGGCGCTTCGCGTATACGTTGAGTATATCGTCAAACTTAGGCGACAAATAGTTTAATTACTGGTGCACAGAACAGTCTTTTGAAGGAATCCGACGCATATCCGCGAGTTGAGCTTCCAGGCTTCAAAAATTTTATCTCCTAATTAAACTTGCCGCTTGCGGTCTCATATTGAAACGTTTCTCTGCGTTATACAATACCAATTTGAGCAGGCCAGAGCAAACTGAAGCTCAGGCCGAGCTCTCCGAATCTCTGTAAATAAATTCGCTCTTTCGCGATACTGACACGATTCTCCGTCGAAACTTGTGTAACTGCGCATGCAACTGCTCCTTTCGTTTGATCATCTGGATCTCATGTATTAAACTGATAGACGTGAAATGCCAGCTGGAGGTCATAGTGCACACTGTCTGCAAGCTTCAAATAGTCCGCATGATTCTTGCCAGGTAGTGGCAAACTGCATAAGCACCGTATACAAAGAGGTAAGTCTGCCTCGGTGGAACAATAGCTATAGGCTGCTCGGCTGCTGACCCGATGGTCACGGGTTCGATGCCGGCCTTGGCAGTTGCATTTCGACGATGGTGAAGGGGTAAAGGCCCATGTAGAGCGTGACGCCAGTGCACGTTAAACAACACCGAATGGCCAAATTTCCGGAGCCCTCCCCTACGGCGTCCCTCATAATAATATCGTGCTTTTGGGAGATGAAACCTCAGATAATATTATAACACACTGTGGTAACTCCCCCGCGACTCACCCGATTCCCGCAGCTGTGCGCAGAAGAGTACCGCGCAGAACAGCAGCGTCACAGCAGACGCCTTCATGTCGGCGCACTTTCGAAGTCCTCGCCGTCTCCTGCCCTTCAGTAAGACTTCTCACAGGTGAGACGTCCCGGTGGTGGCGACAACTCTGCCGCGAGAGTATACTCGTGGAAATAACGTCCTCCTGGACGCGTCTCACCGCCGGTAGAAAGTCAACAATTAGGAATAGACAATGGAAAGGGAAATGCGGGCAGCTGTCCCGGCCCACGGCCGGAACGCGTTCATGTTACTCGAACAATCGGTAGATCAAATCGTTGTGTACGAAACGTTTTGCGTGTTCCGCGAAGCGTGACGCTTGCATAAGGCGTCGCAATACGGCGCCTGTGGAGATCTTCGACGCGTGTGACATTCCAGGCGACGTGCCAGCGCAGCGCGCTGTTCCTCTCAGCGTAACCAATTGGATTGAATTGAATTTAGGTTATTCTAACACACACGTTTATTTTCATTGGTGGGACGAAGTAGTTTTTTTTAAATTTTTTGTCGGCTCTTATGATTGGTCTTTTCATGTATTTATATTCAAAATAAGGAAGTGCCGAGGCGAAGTGGAAACGTCAAAAGCATGTCGTCACCTATTCGTAACCTCGTACGTTGCACAACGCATTGTGAAAAACAAGGAAAATAATACTGCCTGAGGTCTCACTGCAGGACCCATTTGTAAAGGTATGCGATGTCGCAACCTCAAATGGCACTAGCAGTTTACGAAGCTCAATGCTAACAAAAGAATAAAAGTCATCTTTATATCACTTGTATTTTAGTAAATGTGGGCATGGTCAATGTAAAACACGCTAAATTCTGGCATTTTATTAATAAAAATGAAGTTATGTATGTTGTTGGGCTAGTTGGTCACTCAATTTTGAAGAAATAGTTAAGCTGCGCTAAAAAGACAATGTGTTAGATACATAGAACACGAACACACGCGTTTGCATGGGCGTGTTCTATTGTGTCTAAAGTGTTATCTTCTTCGCGCAGTTTAACTATGTCCCCAAATGAAGTTGTACAACTGCCAGAAAAAAATGCATTATCGTAGCCGTGCAGTCTCAAAGACATGTCTTCTTTATATGAGCAAGCTAACACGTTTTTAACAATGCATGAATCTGTACCTCGGTGCGTGAAGTGTGGGTGCGATTCTGTGCATCTTTATCCTTCAAATGCGAAGCATCTTTTTTGCGTACTGCAAGAACTTTTGGCGTCTATCTATCTATCTATCTATCTATCTATCTATCTATCTATCTATCTATCTATCTATCTATCTATCTATCTATCTATCTATCTATCTATCTATCTATCTATCTATCTATCTATATAGCCGCCTGCGACTGCGTGCTCTCATGATCAACCCCTTAACTTGGGGTCTACCAAAATCAGTTTCGGAGGGTAAGATGGTTTCACGAATATGACGTGCTGGTCATGACATCAATTTTTTCCCAATATCGATGCATACGTCATCAAATACTTAAAAAAACAGTGCCACATAATTGGTGATGGGTATGTGCCACTGCTATGCGGGTATGTGCTACAGGTGATAGACATTTTTATCTACCTAGGTATGGCGAAAACACACAAGGGAAATATTAACGTTGAGCGTTAAGAAAAAGCCGGACGAACGCAACGAATAAATGTCAGTGTCCAAACAGGAATTTAGGCCTGGCATTCTGCGTGGCGAATAAGTATTCACAGAGTCATACCAGGTCTCGGAAATACTTTGCAAATAGACCCCTAATAATGTTCGTGAAACGTCAATTCTGGTTGCAGTACTGGATATCGAATTTTACAAACATTACATATGTACTCCTATGGTACAACCATCATGTAAGGTTAACGTTCATGGTAGTTTGGCACCATCCGCGGAGGTTCCTTTGTGTAGCAGTGTTGAGGGGTACTATCCTCGTGAGCGCCTGCACAAATACCACCGCTTCATGTCAGCTTACGAGTTGTGATGTTGCTTGTACTCATGTTGCAGTGGGCATCGTTACGCAACTGCAAACAACTGCTAATATAAAACATACGTGGCTGTTTAACGTGTGTGTGGGCGTGAATTTGTATATATATTGAGCGCCACTTGGTGGCGTTTCGCTCAATAAAAAAGTTAAAACACATTCCCCTTGCATACGCATGCTTCACATCACATTGATTCCCAAGGTGTGTAGGATCTGCCTAATTTTCATTACTCGGTTTTCAAAAAGTCCCCAACAATCGCGACTTTGCCTCTTTCCTAGATGAAGATATCGAATCGGACGGGTCCTCGCGCAGCTTGCAGTATTACTTTGTTTCACTCGCTCTGTCTCTCTCGTCATCTTTTCATTTGTTCATGAAAAATGCAGTACGTTCCTCACTCGTCTGATCATTTATTATAGTAAACTAACTCACGAAGTTGGAAATGAGCCCTAGATGCGGAAATCCGCAAGGTGGCGGAAGACTTAAGAAGGGGAAAGAAGACAACCACCCATTTTAGCACGAAGCCACAAAGAAATACGTACGAATTTCTCAGAAAGAAATGCTTCTCATGTGCCGAAAAGTTTGTCCTGACCAGGGGTTCGAAATCGAGACCAACGGCTATTGCACACGCCTATTGCGTTGGTCTCGGGCACGCCGCTTATTGCACTCTGCAAATTTTTCGGCAAATAAGAAGCTTTTCTTTCTGAAAAATTCGCATGGATTTTTTTGTTGCTCCGTGCTACAAAGGGTGGTTGTCTTCTTTCCTTTTCTTAACTGATGAAGTTGTAAATCTGAGGCGACAGTGCCAATTGACCGTATCACATCCAAAGACGTGTGATTTCAGGTTTGCTTAAAGAAACTCATCTCAAGCACAGGAGCACAAGCTTAGGCGGATCCCTAGAGTGTACCTATATATTTACTGAGCAGATAACCTGATGTATGAATGTAATGAAGCCTCATTTGCACTTTCCTTTGAGGTTCTACAAAATTAGGAATGAAGTAAACCGCTTGGGCAAAGAGATCTTGCGAATGATTTATAGCTTACGCCACTGGCTCACATCATTCTTTATCAAACAAAAAAAGCAGTAATGTACGAAATACGAAACCAATAATACGAAACCGAACTCGAAAAAAAAATACGAAACCAATAATTTAGCAGTTATTTTCTACAAGTGAAAGAAATAACAGTTGAGGAACAAGATTTGGCAGTTGTTCCTAGTAGAACAAAAGGGCTGGTTTTGTGCATGGCAGTCATGACGAACACTTTTTTGCATATGCCAAATGCAGAAACTTCGAAGATGGCTTGGCTGAAACGATGCCACGTGTGGTATTGACGGCTCTGTGTGCGGAGAAAGAATTGAGGGGTACACAGTGTAACAGTAGCGTACCGAGCAATTCTCTCTGGAGGGGGGGGGGGGGTTAAAGTTGAGATAAAACTAAACAACTACCACATACTAAATATTCACTATAGAATATACTACCTGCCAAAATTTTCTGAAGGGAATCGGTTTTGAATAAACAATCTTGGGTAACCGCTTTTGGCACGATCGCTAAATATGTCGTGTTTTTTTTTTCTCTTTTTTTAGTTGTGTGCTGCACTGAATTGCGGCTATTAGCATTGTCTGTACTACTGATGTATCGCGGATTCTCGGGTGGTCTGAAGTGAACTGATGATATCAGTTAGGGTAGGTGTGTTTGCAGTGTTATTTCAAGGTTGCGAGAACATCCAAAAGCGACAATGAGCCTCTGTTTTAAGGGGGAACTGAATACTTGTTCAATAAATTTATATGAGAGAATAAATGGGACTTCAGATCGCATAAAACGACAGTCCTTCAGATGAATCTCGTTCTTGAGAAGATACGGCTATGGTTGGAATTGAATTAAAGCATGTTTCTCGTTAGGTTTCATTGTTATATTTGTCGCGGCGACATGCAGACAAGGGCTCAGAGTTCCAAATAGTGATATAATAATCAGAAAGTTTGTATACTTAACAAACTTAATGCGTTGTGATGAGGTCAGAAAACGAATAGTCGCACAATGTATCTGGAAACGCAAGGGTGCCTGAAATACTTTTTTCCCTTTTTGTTTGAGTATCGATAGTTAACTTGATTTCATCCTATCAATTTGAATTATACACCGTTTGCACGTCAGCAGTGACGCTTATTGGAAAGACTTTAAAGAGCATTGTAGCAGCGACACGCGTTTTCCGTCGAATAGGAAATCGTTCTTGCTTCGTGCTTTGGGGAGCTCATTTATGATGCAAAAAGAATGTTTTTCGGCAAACAGTGTGCTTATTGTTGACTATTTAAAAAAAACGAGCTACATGACCGACACAATTTATGTTCACTATAATGTAAAGTAATTGGTAAAAAGTAACAAAACTGCCACTGTCATCGAAACTGGAAATGGGCACCACGTGTTTCACTTCTATAGCGAGTAAGGCCATTGAATGAACTCTCCTGTTATTCCTATAAAATTAGCTTCATGACTTTTTTATTTGAAGAAAGTTGCACATTTAATGCAACATGAGCGTAATGTTATTAAAATAACTTTGCAGCTTCGTCACATCAAACAACAAACAGGAAATCCTAACAGTAGTGGCAGCGGTGGGATGCCATTGAAACCGACTTCATAACAGTGGTGGCAGCGGTGGGATGTCATCGAACCCAAATTTATAACATCATACAGTCATGGCATACTATACCAGTTTTGCAAATATCACGTGAACGAAACCACCCCAAGATCAGCAAGACCATGAAATGTAAATCATCACATTCATGACATGTCATGATTTTTATGTTATGCCTTGTCACTTATGTTCGTCATACAGTCGTGTTATGTCATACCAATTTTAGTATTGTTATCATCATCTAAACAGCCAGGTGAGCTAAAAGTCGTAGGCGGATAGATAGATAGATAGATAGATAGATAGATAGATAGATAGATAGATAGATAGATAGATAGATAGATAGATAGATAGATAGATAGATAGATAGATAGATAGATAGATAGATAGATAGATAGATAGATAGATAGATAGATAGATAGATAGATAGATAGATAGATAGATAGATAGATAGATAGATAGATAGATAGATAGATAGATAGATAGATAGATAGATAGATAGATAGATAGATAGATAGATAGATAGATAGATAGATAGATAGATAGATAGATAGATAGATAGATAGATAGATAGATAGATAGATAGATAGATAGATAGATAGATAGATAGATAGATAGATAGATAGATAGATAGATAGATAGATAGATAGATAGATAGATAGATAGATAGATAGATAGATGCGCTCAAAGTCACCGAAGTTTGC